TTGATCTGATTTACGTGAAATTTTCATGTTGTGGTCCGCACGTGTTACGACGGCACGTGACGCGGCCGCAGCACACCCCGAGTTGCGTGGAGTGCGAGGGCCCGTTCATCGCTGCCTGCAGCTTTAATTCTTCCTATTATTGTTATTTCTATTTTTTCAATGTCTTGTGAGCACCTTGAGGAACTGTAGCCCAACAAATTTCCTGGTGATCAATAAAGCATTTCTGACTTATTCTGATTCTGATTTGTCAGAGCTTCCCCGAGGTCACCTGGCTGAGCCAAACACACACAGCTTTCACATGGTTGCAGGTTAACTGAACTGAAGATGATTGCTTTCGTCAAATCTCAACTATCTGTCAGTGATATTGGAGTGGACACTCATATATTTGAACAGTAGCAAGCAGCAGACATGGATTTTTCTGTCACATGCAAAAGTCAAAGGATTCTCTTTATGAGGATATAGGGTAGAAAGACAAATAGCGGGGCTTGTCTGTGTCTCCCATGTATTCATTGTGGTATAAATTGGTTCTCATGCAGAATAGAGGAAACGTGAGTGAGCAGACAAATGCTGAAAGATGGCCGGGGGAATGAGGAAGTCTCACCAACTTTTTTTTTTGCTTTTTAAAAAGAAGCAGTATATTCCATCAGAAAATGGTTGGAAATAACAACCACTGTAATGTTTTGCTCCCTTTCTCTTTCTTACACGCTTTCTCTTTCTCTCTACTCTCTCTCATTCTCGCACTGTCACTCTTTGTCTCTCATTCACTTGCTCTCCCTCTGTAACCAGATAGGTCTGTCCTATACTCCTACAGCTCTTTGATTGTTAGCTGCAGGTTTCAGATGCCTACGGAGCGGCTGCACCTTCCAACAGGCAAATGATTGTGGAAGGATGAAACTCTAGAGGCCATCAATGGCTATGATAGACACACACACACACACACACACACGCACACAAACCTCCACACGTAAGAAACAAAAACACAAAAACTATTCACATACAAGCAATACACAGCTATACACCTTAACGTACATTTACATAAACACATTCATAAAATACAGAAACATGTATACTATCCACACAGACAAACCAAACAGAAATCAGCACATACAAACATGCACACATGTAGTCCACACTCATACACTTTGTCATCACTGAGTGTTGGGGGTGGGACGATCACTGTGGAGAATAGTAAATTTACTGTGGTGTTTAGATAGCGGTTTATCTGTGGCAAGCTGTTTTTTTCCAGAAACAACAAATTATTAGTTCAATGTCTATTAGTCGTAAAGTAAAGAAAAATAGAGTATTATTCCATTGGTTATCAATCAAAACTGTAATCACCAGAATTAAGTTCAGCTGCCATGGCGATAAGAAACAATTCATATCACTGAACGAATTCTTGATAGTTGGGTAGTTTGATGTCTTTTT